AAGAAAGCAATGATTACGTACATAAATATATTGGCACCAGAGGAGATTTTGCTGAACCTAACTCTTAACTTTCTCACCCACAGGTTCACACGCACACCATTCCCAGTCGCCCCTCCCTGACCAGCCTTGACTGTGGCTGTAGATCCTTGCCTCCGTCAACTGAAATAAACACACAGCCTAAGGGTTGAGAGTTATGCGTTATTGGGCAGACACTTCTGAGGACAAGAGCCTTCGAGCCTGGGCTGACAGCCTCCCAGAGGGCTTCCTCAGGCCGTTTTCGGGGTAGTGTTTGCTACTTCTCGGGCTGCCATTTACTATTATCCTTTATCTCCCCTGGTTTCTGCACCAAATGCAGACACACCGTATGATCAGCCCTGAGAGCACGAGCCGTTAGGGGCCGGGGGTGAACAGACACACATCACTACAGATAAAAGCAAGGACGTACTGTAGAGCACAGGGAACTGTATTCAATTTCTTAGAATAACATATAGTGGAAAAGAATCTGAAAAGAAAAAATACACATGTGTGTATATTTATAAGTGAATCACTTTGCCGGACACCTGAAACTAACATTGTAAATCAACTACACGTCAATAAAAAAGCAGTAATAATAATAATAATAATAATAATAATAATAATAATAATAATAAAAGAACACAAGTACACCAAAAGCCCCTTGGCCAGTGGCCCCACTCCCTGCCTCCTGGGAAGCTGGACCCCAGGCTCAGAAACACTGGAAGAAAGTTTTAAGAAATAAAATAACTTTTTAAAATAAGAGCCCTCATTTTCTGGGCTTCCTTCCAACTAGCGGAGCCAAGAGAGAGAGCCTGTGAGGCTGAGAGCCCGTGAGGCGCGCCAGGGCTGGCCTTTCAGCTGCCACGTTGGCTATCAGAGATCTTCAGTCACTGTGAGTCAGCAGTATTTCTGAATGACAACGGCTGGGGTTAATGGAAAAGAAACTGTTTTAGACGGTCGTGCTTGGTGAACAAGGACGCTGCAGTGAGGACTGGGGTAGAGGAGAAGTGCCCTCAGGGATAGCTTCCAGAGGAGACTCTCTAAGCAGTTACGACTTCTCACAGAAACATTACCCATTGGTGCCGGTTGGTGAAATACAGTCGTCCTCTGTGCTCCACGCTGATGGGGCAGAATGCTGGGTTAAGTGAGTGTCAGATAGTGAACTAAGTGGGTAACTAGACCCGTTAAAACTTGCCCCAGGGGAATGCAAACATTCCTTATCATTAACATGATTCAGGCCACTTTTACCAAAAGTTGGGATTGGCATGGGTAGGGCTACGCAGGATGTCGTAACTGGAATTCAATTCGGCAAATATTTACTGAGGCTCCTCTCTGTGCAAAATACTGTTCCTAATTTTTTTTTCAGGTCATGCACATAAGAACAAGCCTCAGTTTTGAAATTTGCTTTTGCAGGACTATAGTCTCAAATCTTTCCCTGGCTCTAAAGTGACAACCTTCTTTGAAACAAGGACATAGGAGTAATTTTGCTAAATCTTGAAGGCCCTAGTCTAGAAGTGAACCTTCCAAACTATGGCCTGGAGGATCGAGGATGGCACCTATTGGAAATCCATCAGGAGCCTGAGCGCAGATGGCTCGGCTGCTGTGTCGGTTACAAGGCACTTGGCCGAGGGAGCCCAGCAGGGTGAACACCTGGCTCTTCTCAGGTGCAGAGCTCAGGCTGGCCCAGGAGTCCGTGTTCTTCACCCAGATCTTCCTACGAACGCATGTCAGGGAATCTGTGCTAGTGGCTGGGAAATAAGCCCAAAATAAAGACCCTCTGACTTCGGACAACGGAGCTGCCCCCTTTGCCCCCCCAAAATCTAGCTAATTTAAGTATCCTGAGTTTTCTGCTCTCCCAGACCTTATACAATTCATGCAGTGTGGGAAGAGCAGAGACAGAGCCCCAAAATAGTAATCAGGAGACACGCTCAGGATGTGAGCAGACCCAGGTCTCTCTCTGCCCGGGAAAGGCTAAAACTACATGAGAGCAAAGTTAACTCTGTCCAGCAACTGAAGAAACAATCAAAAATATCTTTTGTTTACAATAGCCAAGACATGGAAACAACCTAAATGTTCACTGACAGATGAATGGATAAAGAAAATATATATATGGTGGAATATTATCCAGCCATAAAAAAGAATGAAATAATGACATTTGCAGCAACGTGGATGGACCTAAAGATTATCATACTAAGTGAAGTAAGTCAGACAAAGACAGATATCAATTATAAGTTATTACAAAATATTGAATGTAGTTCCCCATACTGTGCAGTAGGACCTTGTTGTTATATTTGAGGTTTTCCTCTACAGCCCCCCCAACCTGTCATTTGTCCCCACTTAGGGCAGGATCAGAAGAGCTCTATTTCAGCCAGAAGGACTTCAGCCGGGCACAAAGAAAGTGATCCTGACCCAGAAATTGCAAAGAGAGG